CTTCAACTCCCAGAATTCCTTAAAAGTGGCCAAGTTTGGAGAGAGGCCGCCTGGGGAATTCTGGGAGTTGAAGTCCACATGCCTGAAAGGGGCCAGCCACGTTTGGGGACCTCTGTTCTATTGTAATAATAATAATAATAATAATAATAATAATAATAATAATAATAATAATAATAATAATAATAATAATAATAATAATAATAATAATAATAATAATAATATTTGCTAAATAATAACCCAGGGTGGGATTTCTCCCCTCTTCAATGGCCTTCTCTCTCCTTTCTCTTCCCTCGGCCAGCATCTACGAGCAGCTGCCGGAGGTGCGAAAGAGACGGGAAGAAGCCCAGAGAAGGACGGAATATTCCACCAACCGCTTGAAGGCCCAGCTGTACAAAACGGTGGGTGCCCCTTTCTCCTCTCCCGTCCCCCACCCCCCACAAACCTACTCAAAGCTTGTGGGGTTCTCCTCCTTTCCTGGAAAGTGGGAATCAGGGATGGGGGTCAGAGCAGGCAGGGGATAATGGAGTTCAGGGGATATTAGGGGAGTCGCCGGGAGCTGGGCGGCGTCTCCAAAAGCATCAGCTCAGGGCCGTCGCAGGGGGCTGCGCCCTGACCTACGCCGCGCCGAAACTCCTCGGGAGGGAGAACGGCCGTATCTCTGAAGCGGCAGGGCATAAATTGCCGGGGGGGGGGGGAGAAATGCAGAGTTTAATCCTGGCCAAAGGAAGGAGCATCGCAGAGCCCCTGGTGGGCGGGAGGAAGCCGCCATTGTGCCTGAACCACTAGGGGGCAGCAGAGCCGCCTTTTTTCCCTCTTTTCTCTCCCCTCTTCTCTCTTTTCTTTCTCCTTCCTTCCTCTTCTCCCTTTTTCCTCTTCTCTATCTCTCCTTTCTTTCCTCTCTTTTCTCTCTCCATTCTCTCCTGTCTCTCTTTTCTATCCCTCCTTTCTCTTCTTTTCCCTCCCTCCTTTCCTTCCTTCCTTCCTCTTCTTTCTCCTTCTTTCCCTTTCCTCTTCTCTCTCTTTTCTCCTTTCTTTCCTCTTTTCTCTCTCTCTCCTTCTGTCTTTCTCTCCCTCCTTTCTCCTTTACTTCCTCCCTCCTTCCATCCTTTCCTTCCTTCCTCCTCTTCCTTCCTTCCTTCCTTCCTTTCCTCTCTCCTTTCTCTTCCCTTTCTTTTCTCTCCTTCTCTTTCCCCTCTTTCTCTTCTTTTCCTCCCTCCCTCTCTTGCTCCCTTCCTTCCTTCCTTCCTTCCTTCTTTCCTTCCTTCTTTTCTCTCTTTCCTCGCTCCTTTCTCTTCTCTCTCTTTTCTCTCCTTCTCCTTCCCCTTTCTCTTCTTTCCTCCCTCTTCCCTTTCTTCCTCCTTCCTTCCTTTCTTTCCTTCCTTCCTTCGTGTCTTTCCTCCTTTCTCTTCTCTCTCTCTTCTCTCCTTCTGTTTCTCTCCCTCCTTTCTCTTCTTTTCCTCCCTCCCTCTTTTCTCCTTCTCTTCTTTCTTTTTTCCTCTCTTTCCTCTCCTCCCTCCCTTCCTAATCTTTTCTCCTTTCTCTCTTTCTCTCTCTCTCTCTCTCTTTCCCCTCTTTCTCTCTCTCTGACTCTCTCTCACAAGCACACCACAGCCCTGGCCTTCAGTCCTACCCCAAGCGAAAGCCAGTTCATCCAAATTGGGGCTTTCCACTACCTGTCTCCCCACATCCCCCCCCCCCAAGCTGCTTGGCCCTTCTTCCGTGGGTCTCTTCTTCCTCCTCTCTTCACCCCCTCCCCAATTTATCCTATTTTTGTAAGGAAGGGGGGGGGCAAGAAACGGGAAGGATCAAAAAGGGGCTTTCTCGGACAGGGTGGGTGGGTGTCCCTTCACCATTACAGTGTTAGGATTCCAGCAATCGCCCCCAATTAAATCATGATTCTTGGTTGTTCTCGTCTTTTCCAACAGAAAATCACCAACCGTGTCTTGGGAAGGAAAGTGCCCTGGGAATGATGTGGGCGGGAAAAAAAACAAAAAACCAGAAGCCGAGCGAAGGACGACGTCCCTGTTTAATAAACCTTACCGCACCAAGTAGGGGGTTTTAACCTCTCTTTTTTAAAAAACATTTTTTTTAAAAAAAAAAAACACGAACTTGTGCCTACGCCGTAGACTCCTTGGGCGGTTTTGCCCCTGACGCCTCTTAGATTTCCTGACCTTCAACTGGAGTTCAGGGGTGCCCTCCCCAGTTCCCCCCCCTTCAATCATGCTACAACCCCTCCCGTTTTCAAGCCAACGTATTGAAGAGTTTTTAAAAAGAAAAATCAAGGAACCAGGAATTTTTTTTTTCTGCCTTTTTCCATATTCTGCCTACGTTCCCTATGCGGATCAAGGCTTTGTCGGACTAATGGATCAACAGCGCATTAAATGGGCGGTTGTGTGTGTGTGTGTGTGTGTGTGTGTGTGTGAAAGCAGCTTGGGTTATTTATATATAGAACAATATTTGTATTTCAGGTGCTTTGTATCACTGATGATTTTGGAGGATTACTCTGGATTTTTTTTTTAATGTCTCCGTGGTGGGGGGAAAAAAAATTAAAATGTCTTACAATATCCCTGCTTCCTGATGACTTCCACTGAGCGTTTTTGTCAGCTGTCCGTTCACAGTTTGCGTCTCCGCAACGATTGTCGAAAATGGATGGAGACTCGGAGCCATTTTTTTACATGCGTTCAATATAAAACGAGGAAAAGGGGCTATAGATGCACAGTTACAGCCAATGTCTTGACTCTTCTAACACCTTCCGTGGATGTCCTTATACAGATAGTCCTCAACTTAACAGCCATTTGTTTAGGGCAGGGGCCTCCAAACTTGACAGCTTTAAGATTTGTGGACTTCAACTCCCAGAATTCCTCCTCCCATCACGTTAGCTCAGGAATTCTGGGAGTTGAAGTCCACAAGTCTTAAACTTGCCAAGTTATAAGACCCTTGGGCTAGCTGGATGAAAGGAAGGGAGAGGGAGGAATAGATGATTGATAGGATAGATAGGATAGATAGATAGATAGATAGATAGATAGATAGATAGATAGATAGATTTTTTTTTTTTTTAGATAGATAGATAGATAGATAGATGATAGATAGATATGGATGATATTGATTATATAAAGATCTAGATAAAGAACTAGATAGAGAGATAGAGAGACAGAGAGTGTATGACTGGCTGGCTAGGTGGATGATAGACAGAGAGGATGGGTGACATAGATTATATAAATAGCAAGATCAGGGGTCTCCAAACTTGACAGCTTTAAGACTTCAACTCCCAGAATTCCTCCTCCAGTCACGTTAGCTCAGGAATTCTGGGAGTTGAAGTCCACTTTCCAGGTTTGGAGGCCCTTGGATTAGGGTCTATTCAAAGTTACGACGGCACTGGAAAAAGTGACTTCTGACCGTTTTTTCACACTTACGACCGTTGCAACGTCCCTGGGGGGGGTGTCACGTAATCAAAATTAAGACTCTTTGCAACGGACTCGTATTTACAACGGTGGCAGTATGTCCTGGCGGTCATGATCCCCTTTTGCGACCTTCTGATGAACAAAGTCAATGTGGAAGCCAGATGACAACCACTTAACAACCGTGTCCCTAACTTAACAGCTGCAGCGATTTGCTTAACAACGGCTGCAAAAAGGTTGTAAAAGGAGTAAAAGCTCCCTTAACAACTGCTTCACTTAGCAGCAGAAATGTTGGGCTCGATTGTGGTCCTAAGTCGAGGACCACCTGCAGCTAAAGTCGGTGCTTGCTTAGTTCAACCATCGTCAGCTTGCCGGAGTTCCTAAAACTCTCACCAAAGGAAATGCTTCCAGGGGTCCTGGGACTCCAACTTTGCAGCAGGCCGGGGCAACATTAAAATAGGTGGACTCTAACTCCCAGAATTCCAAGCAACATGGGCCAAGGCAACATTAACATGGGTGGACTCCAATTCCCAGAATTCCTCAGCCAGCCTGGCCTAAGATCTGTTTTTCCAGCAGGGGCAAAATTGAGATAGGTGGACTTCAACTCCCAGAATTCCACAGCCATCCAGGCCCAAGGCCTCTTTCCTCAACTTTAGGAAGTTTAAGATGGGTGGACTCCCAGCTCCCAGAATGCCAAGGAACATGGGCCAAGGCCTCTTTCCAGCAGGCCAGAGCAACATTGAGAAAGCTGGACTTCAATTCCCAGAATTCCACAGCCAACCTGGTCCCAGGCCTCTTTCTTCAAGTTTAGCAATTTTAAGATGGGTGGACTCCAACTCCCAGAATTCCCCCCAGCCAGCCTGGTCCAAGTCCTGTTTTTCCAGCAGGCCGGGGCAACATTAAGATGGGTGGGCTCCCAACTCCCAGAAATCCAAGCAACATGGGCCAAGGCCTCTTTTCCTAACAGGCCAAGGCAACATTAACATGGGTGGACTCCAACTCCCAGAATTCCACAGCCAACCAGGCCCAAGGCCTCTCCTCGAGTTCAGTAACTTTAAGATGGGAGGACTCCCAACTCCTAGGCTGGCTGTGGAATTCTGGGAGTTGGAGTCCACCCATCTTAAAAGCTTCTAAGGTTGAGAAAACATTGCCTTATGAGCTCTGGAGTTGGCCAGGCCTGAGTAGGCCGTTGTGAGACACACAGACTTTCAGACCAACACCCACATGTGCTGCCTACACAACTCTGTTTTCCTTCCCCTTGCCCAGCTGCTACTTCTGTTTGTCGCTCTGCGTCTCTTCCTCCCTCCCTTCCTTGCCACCGCTGCTCTTTTTTGCTGTCTACTGGTTGCAATTTTGCAATCTGGCTGTTCTTTTGAGTCAGAGGGTGTTTCCCCTCTCTGAACAACGGCCAAGCACAACTGTGTTGCTTTGCACACACACACACACACACACACACACACACGGTGTGCGGCCGAAAAACAGAATCCCAAATTAGCCGGGTCAGCAAAACATGAGAAGGATTTTTGCCTCTTGGGTGTGGATTTGAACCGGAGCAGTCGCTTCTGGGTCATTCCGGGTAGTCCTCGACTTACGACCACAATTGACCCCCCCCCTCCCCCCTCTTGTTTGCTAAGTGAAACAGTCACCCATGGTCACCGGTTGTCCCCCCCGAGGTTTCTGAAGAACTTCAAGAAGCTTCTTGAAGGAGCAGCGAATTTCGTTCCCGTTTTACGGCCTTTCCTGCCACCCGTTACTAAACGAATCCCTGCAGTCAGGAATGCAATCGTTAAGCGAATCGGGCTCCTCCCGCTCACCAGAACGGTCACAAAAGGGGATCACGTGACCCCCGGGGACGCAACCATCATAAGTATGAACCAAGTTGCCAAATGTCTGAATTTTTGCATCACATGACCATGAAGGATTCTGCGATGGTTGTAAGTGTGAAAAAACGGTCATAAGTGCAAACAACGGTCATAAATCCCCCTTTTTTCAATGCCATTGTCCTTTTGAACAGTCACTAAATGACCAGCTGCAGTTCATTTAGCGACTGAAGTTACCACAGCACTGAAAAAGGATGTTTTCCACACACACGATCAAAATTTGGACGCTCGGCAACTGTCTTCCTGTACTTGTGATAGTTGTAGTGTCCCAGAGTCATACAATTTCACCTTTGGTGGCCTATTGGCAGGCAGAGTTAATGGGGACGCCAGATTCACTTAACAACTGTTTTTGCTGTATGAATCAGAATAGAGCTGGGAGGGTGCCTAGAGATCTTCTAGTCCAACCCCAAGCAGAAGACCATTCCAGACAAGTGGCGGTCCAGTCTCATCTTAAAAACCTCCAGTGATGAAGCACCCACAATTTCTGGTGGCAAGCGGTTCCCCTTCACTTTGTGAACTAAACAGCTGCAGCGATTCACTTAAGGATGACAGGAAAGGTCTTAAAATCGGTCAAAACTCGCTTAACAACTGCCTGGCTTAGCCGATGGAAATTTTGGGCTCCGTTATGGTCCATGATTCAAGGACTTCGGGGAAGATGATGCATAACGATTTCTGCAAATAAAATAAAAAGTTCTTCCTTCTTTAGTGGGATTTTCACCAGGGTGGTTGGTGGTTGGTGGTTTAGTTTCTGAAATAAGGGAAATGTGGTTGGAAACAAAATGTTGACTCTGGGCTTTATAGAATACCAAAAATGGCCTGATTGTTGTTATGAGTACATTATTCAGTTCTCCTAAAGAAGGCTGTCTGTCAAAAATGCCAAACAATTTGACAGCTGGGCCTTTTTTAGGAGTATATCAGTTTAAAATGCTGAACTGACAATTTTTTAAACCTCTTGCTCAACAACGCAGCATCTAGCAAGCCTTGTTTGGGCTGAGAAGCTAAACAGGGCCAGGACCTTAAAAAACACACACCAAAAAACAGATAATCAGAGTTGGAAGGGACCTTGTAGGTCATCTAGTCCAACCCTCCTTGCCCAAGCAGGAGACCCTACACCATTTCTGACAGATGGCACTTCAGTCTCTTCTTGAAAGTCTTAAATAATGATGCTCCCAGAACTTCTGAATAACATGGCCGGGGAATTCTGGGAGTTGAAGTCCACCAGTCTTAAAAGTTTCCAGGTTTGCAGACATTCTAGTCTAGTCTAAGGAAAAGTAGGGAATGACAGGATAGCAGTCTTCCAATATTTGAGGGGCTGCCCCAAAGAAGAGGAGGGGGGTCAACCTATTCTCTAAAAGTACCTGAAGGCAGGACGAGAAGCAACGGATGGAAACTAATCAAGGTGAGAAGCAACCTGGAAATAAGGAGAAATTTGCTGAGAGGGAGAGGAATTAACCAGTGGAACTGCTTGCCACCAGAAGTTGTGGCTGCTCCATCGCTGGAGATTTTTAAGACGAGACTGGACATCCACTTGTCTGAAATGGTATAGGATTTCCTGTTTGGACAGGGGGGTTGGACTAGAAGACCTTCAAGGTCCCTGTCAGATTTAGGTGACCCCCCAAATACTTAACAAATTTTCAGGAAAATGAGGTAAAATAAGAATTTTATTATACTCTCGCAAAAGCAGGCAATTCCTCTCAGGTGAGTTGGAGTCAGAAGAGCGAAGAACTTCTTTTAAACAATGCAATTTATAGTTTATTTCCTTTTGAAGCATATTTGCGGTTGAGGTATTCTATCGAGACAGGAAAGTTTAATCAAACTGAACAGGAAACTCTTAAGCTAGGCAGCTGGGGTTTCTTGTAGGTCTTCCACTCAGACAAGCATTTAAACATAACAGTTTGCAGATATGGGACCCTCCGGGTCATCTAGTCCAACCCCCTTTTGATACATAAAATCCTTTAAAAGAATTCCAAATCATATATCTTTGATTCACATCCTTCAGTCCCTTATACTCCAAAGCCCCTGAAGGCAGGACAAGGAACAATGGGTGGAAACTAATCCAGGAGAGAAAGCAACCTGGAACTAAGACTTCCTAGCAGTGAGGACAATTTACCAGTGGAACGGCTTGCCACCAGAAGTTGTGGGTGCTTCATCACTGGAGGCTTTTAACACGACATTGGGCAGCCATTGGTTGAGCAGGGGGTTGGATTAGAAGACCTCTAAAATCCCTCCCGGTGCTGCTATTCTGGATGGCCTGGCGGAGAACACGCTGTGTGCCAGGAGGCCCAA